AGAACGTGATATCACAGAACAATCCTGTGGATTGTTCACCAGTTTCCTCCAGTGGTAACATCTTATTTTTAAGTAATCTACTATTTTTTATTCTGTTTTCTCCTCTGTGATCTTGTTAATTCCGTAGACTTTTGTTACGCTTTCAGCGTTGTTTCTAGTGATTTTAGGATGCATCCTTGAGTTGTTGCAGTTTAATCCCAAGTGTTCTTACCATTTCTTCAGTAATGGGAGAACCTTACTGCTTTTCCTTGTCCACTGCTTCTCACTTCCTTTCTCCACTGCAGTGTTTTCTTTGATGAAATAGGTTACTTTCCTCCTGTTCCAAGAACTCTTGAGAATTTCTTTCTGTGCAGGCCTACTGGCAATGACTTCTCTGTTGTTTCTCTTAAAAGGTCTTGATTTCACCTTCCTGTTTGAAGTATATTTTCAATGGGTACAGAATTCAAGGTTGGCGGTTATTTTCTATGTCTCTTATGCTTGGTTGTGGGTTTTTGTTTTTGTTTTTCCATTTCCTCTCTGATACAGTTTGAATATTTTCTGTTGACCTATCTTTCAGTTCATTAGGCATATCTTCTGCTTTTAAACCTAATCTTGGAGTTACTATTTCAGTTATCATATATTTTAGTCATAATTTCAATCAGGTGTATATTGATCCTTATATAAATTCTAAATATATTGAACTTCTTTTTTTATCCATATTTTCCTACATTTTCTTATACATAGTGAGTGATCTTAACATATTTTAATGTTCTTGCCTACTAAGTCCAATGTCTGTGCCATCTGTGGATCTGCTGTTTTGATTAAATGCCAGATATGTATAAAAATTTAGATTCTCTGAATAGGAAGAAAAAAATATTTTATATATACATAAAATTTAGATGCCCCAGGTGATGATGTGTAGTCCATCTATATGATTTAGTGTTCCTCTGTGGTGTTGACAGACCTGAGAAGGTGTCAGGGCTGAGGTGAAGCTAGATGGCAGTTTGGTCCTTCTCCAGGACCACCCCTGATCCTTGGCTGTGACTCTGCAGAACTTACGATTGGGATTTTGAAGGAGTCTTTATCACTTCAAAAGGGAGTTTACAGGAATTTTTGTCTTTCCTTGAACCCGACTCTGCATCTTCAAAATATCCCATGTGTCTGAGATGGTGACCAGCTTGTATTTGAAGTCCCCCCACATCTCTGCCAGCATCACTTCATCCAGAGCCATGAGTTGCCACAGTTCTTCATTATACACTGGACACAAATCTCTCATCACACATACGATTTGCAAATATTTTCTCACAGAGTGTGAGCTGTGTTTTCACCTTCTTGATGGGGTCTTTTGAAGCAGAGATGTTTTTCATTTTGATGAAGTTCAACCTCTCAATCTTCCCTTTTGTCACTTAGGCTTTTGATGTCACATCTAAGAAATCTTTTATTTCACCCCCAAGATCATTTAGATTTACTCCTGTTTTTTCTTCTCAGAATTTTTTTTTTTTCCCTAGAGAGAGAGCACACAAGTTGGAGGGGCAGAAGGAGGGAATGAATCTTAAGCAGGTTCCATGCTTAGCACAGAGCCCAGTGCGGGGCTTGATCTCATGACCCTGAGATTATGACCTAAGGCGAAACCAAGTCAGATGCTTAACCAACTGAGCCCCCCAGGTGTTCCTCTTCTCAGAATTTTTTTTTTTTATTAAAGATTTTTATTTATTTATTTGAGAGAAAGAGAGAGAGACAGAGAAACAGCATGAGAGGGGAGAGGGTCAGAGGGAGAAGCAGGCTCCCCGCTGAGGTGGGAGCCCGATGTGGGACTCGATCCCAGGACTCCGGGATCATGACCTGAGCCGAAGGCAGTTGCTTAACCAACTGAGCCACCTAGGCGCCCAAACTATTTTTTTTTTTTTTAAGATTTTATTTATTTACTTGAGACAGAGAGAATGAGAGACAGAGAGCATGAGAGGGAGGAGGGTCAGAGGGAGAAGCAGGGAGCCCGATGCGGGACTCGATCCTGGGACTCCAGGATCATGACCTGAGCCAAAGGCAGTTGCTTAACCAACTGAGCCACCCAGGCGCCCTCTTCTCAGAATTTTTTTAATGTTAGCTCTTACCTTTAGATCTTTGACCTACTGAGTTAATTTTTATATATGATATGAGATAGGGTCCAAATTCATTGTTTTGCCTTCGGATATCCAGTTGTCATGGCACCAGCTGTTGACCCACCCACCACCCCCTTTTAAACTTTATTAAGGAACTCTTAGAATATATATAGAAATAGAACAGTATAATGACTCTCTGTGTATCCACCACCAGCTTTGGTTATCAACACCTTGCCAGTCTTGTTTCATTCGTTCCTATTTACTTTTGGCCTGTTGGTGACCCCCTATGGACTTAGGGCTCCTTTCTTAGGTTGAGTCTGTGACTTCTCGATCTCATGTCTTTGCCTTTTTCTGGTTTTACACTAAATTAACTGGACCATATCCTTCAGTAACAGGTGTAGGAATTAAGTTTTTTTTTTTTTAAGATTTTATTTGAGAGAGAGAGCACAAGCAGGGAGGAGAGAGCACAAGCAGGGAGGAGGGGCAGAGGGAGAGGGAGAAGCAGATTCTCTGCTGAGCAGGGAGCCCAACTCAGGGCTCCATCCCAGGACCCTGAAATCATGACCTGAGCCAAAGGCAGGCGCTTAACCAACTGAGCCACCCAGGAGCCCCAGAAGTAAACTTTTTGAGTCCTTGATTTCAGATACCTCTTTATCCTGTGCCTACCCTTAATTCATTTAAGTTGCTGTACTTGAAATTCTAAATTGAAATGCGTTATCCCTCGGAATTGGAAGGTATTTTACCATTGTTTTTAAAAACCTAGTTTTGTTTGTGAGAGAAGCCTGATGCGGTCTGAATTTTTTTTTTTTAATCTATTTTTTTATTTCTTTGTCTTTCTGGAAACTGCTGTAGGATTTCACTGTTTCATGGTCTTAAATTTCCAGAGTTGTTCCTTGCTGTGTATTTTTTCAATTTTTATTTTCTTGTTACTTGTAGTGGTCCTTTCTATTTGAAAACTCTTGATCTTCAGTTTTGTGCTCAGCTTTCCAGATGCATGATGGTATAAAATTCTTCCCTCTACAAAAGTTAGATCTTAGACTTCTTTTATGTCCTACTTGTTACCAGTAAAGTAGAATTCATATAGATCCATTGTCTGATTCAAGAATTTTCTTTATTTCCTGTCTTCTTCAATACAAATATCAGACAGTAGGAGTTATTCTTCTCTTGAGTTAGGAGCCTTGTTTCTCTGACCCCTTTTAACCAAAATAGTTTGGTGTGTTGGTGTAGTAGTACATGGGGATGTTCCCAACTGCCTGGATAATTCTCAAAAAAATAGAACATTTTCTGCCAAAGCCATCAGAGTTCTACAGGTTCTATTCTCTTAGAAATAGATCTGGGAACTGATAACATGAGTCTTCTCTGAAGGTGGGGTTACTGGTGGCAAGGCAGTAACATGTGAAGGAAGACCCGTTTCTTGTGTGATGCCTCCTTATAACCTTCTGATTTTATGTTGTGCTGCATTTCTTATTCAGAAATACAAATTGCATAACACTATACAATGATTAGCAGGTTTAGGATCATGTAATCTTTATTTAAAGTTGATCTATAGCTCAAAATGTGGTTAGGGAGGCAAACACTTCATGAACAACTGTAGATTCATTCATAAAACCTGCTCATTGTCACCTTTTGCTTATACTTCTGCATCTTCCTATAGATGGATCTCTATGGTATAAAACTATTTCTCTTTCTAACTATAAAAGAGTGAAAAATAAGACTCTCACTGAAGTGTTGTCTATTAAGTTAGCTCCCCAAAGCCTATGTTAAATGTCTCCTGCATGTTAGCTCCTTCTAGATTCTCTGTGAAATAGAAATCAGTAAGACAGCTGCTTCATGTTACTTCTCACTTGTGTGGAAGAAAGATGAGCACATAAATTCAGCAGATATAACGAAAGTGAATGCAGAATGGTGTTGGGAGTTTGTTGGCGCAGCTCTTGGATGGTGTCTGGGGAAGGTGGGATTGACCCCTGGCCAGGTACAGGTAGTCACGGTGAAATATGGGCCTTTCATCTTCTCTGTGTAATGTGGTACCTTCCTCTGTGTGCTGCTGAGTAGGCAAAAAGTGTGAATAGGGCTCATCATCCTGTGGCAGGCGAGTAGCACATTCTTCCAGAGTAACTCCTTGTCCTGTACTATATTTGTTTCTCTTGCTCCAGATCCTATCCTCAAACGTAGAGGTGGAATATTGTTCACCCCCTCCTTTCCACAGCCAGTGCCACTCACTAGAGAGAAAGCAGAGGCTTTACATCTGAATGTTGGGTGTGGGGGGAAACCATTGCTTAGCTTGTCCCTGGACAGTTCCTGAGGACGGAAGGATAGTGAGGGGAGGCATAGAGTAGAGGGGTGAGGGTGCAGGGTAAGTGGGTGGCAGATGGGGAGGTGTACCCCAGGCTACTTGTGTCCTCTTTGCCAGGGTCCTGATTAAACTGCCCCTTCCTGGTGGGCTCTTTTTGAGAGGAGTAGTTTACCATGGGAGGCTTTTGTGGGTTTTTTTTTTAACTTTAAAAGGGATATTTATACCTATAAGAACCAGAAATTCAGCAACATTTATATTAAATTGAAGTAAATGTTTGGTAGAGACACAAAGGAGGCATCTAGGGCACCATTCTTAATTCTATAATCCCTACTTTGAATAGCAACTTCAGCATTTTGTTGCTCTATTTTATTTTATTTTTTCAAAGATTTTATTTATTTATTCGACAGAGACAGACACAGTGAGAGAGAGAACACAAGTAGGGGGAGTGGGAGAGGGAGAGGCAGACTTCCTGCCGAGCAGGGAGCCCGAGGGGGGCTCGATCCCAGGACCCCGGGATCATGACCTGAGCTTAAGGCAGACGCTTAACAACTGAGCCATCCAGGCGCCTCTTGTTGTTCTATTTTAAACAAATGTTTACCTAAATAATTTGAATGATCTTTTACACTTAGCATCTGGCTGCCGTGGAGGAGAGAAAGATCAAGTCTCTGGTGGCCCTGTTGGTTGAGACACAAATGAAGAAATTAGAGATCAAACTTCGACATTTTGAGGAGCTGGAAACTATCATGGACAGAGAAAAGGAGGCTGTAAGTATAAAGGGGTGTTTATGGTGGCTTTCTGACCATTAAATGCTGACCACCTTTCATAAACTACAAGTTAGATAAAATGAATGGTAGCCTACTCTGTTGGTCCTTTCTACTGTGTTTGCTTTGTCCTTTCAAAGGGATTATCAGTCATTGATGTTAAACAGAAGAAACTCTGTTCTCATTCTAAAACTAATGATTTAAACTTCAGGTTTACACCGCTCAGCTTTCCAGATGCATGATGGTATAAAATTCTTCCCTCTACAAAAGTTAGATCTTAGACTTCTTTTATGTCCTACTTGTTACCAGTAAAGTAGAATTCATATAGATCCATTGTCTGATTCAAGAATTTTCTTTATTTCCTGTCTTCTTCAATACAAATATCAGACAGTAGGAGTTATTCTTCTCTTGAGTTAGGAGCCTTGTTTCTCTGACTCCTTTTAACCAAACCCTCCTCTGGTCCAGCCTTGGACTCAGTTTTCCTCCCCTTCCCTGCACGGTGGAGGGCAGGTGGAGGGCAGGTGGAGCTAGGCCCTTTCTGAGCTCCTAAGCGGCACGGGTCGGGGCAGACACTTGTGAGAGAAGGATGTGGCCCAAGTAGGGTCAAGAGAATTATGAAAAAGGCCAAAACTGAGGAAGGAAGCAACAAAAAGTAAGAAACATAGAGGCAGGGGAACAGTTGGGTCATTCAAGGTAATTTTTGGGGAAGTTTATTTTAGAAGAGAGATTGGTAACTTTTTTTTTTTAAGGTTTTATTTATTTGACAGAGCACAAGCAGGGGGTAGGGACAGTGGGAGAGGGAGAAGCAGATCCCCACTGAGCTGGGAGCCCAATACGGGGCTCGATCCCAGGACCCTGGGACCATGACCTAAGCCAAGGGCAGACACTTAACCAACTAAGCCACTCAGGCGCCCCAGGAATCGGTAACTTTCTAAGCAATGGACTAAATTTGAGGATTTAGTTAGGACTTGTGCTTTCTGATTATTTTGGCTGTTTTATCTATATATGAGATACTGGTATCTAAATGGTAGAACCTTAAGTTATCCCAGAGGAGTTCTAATTTTAAGGACCTTTTTGTATTTATTTAGCTATTTCTTGGTGGTTAGTCCAATCACATCCTCTGGCAGATTCCTCAGGATGCGTAGCCCAGTAACTATCACACAAACAGCCCATTTTCATTTTGTCCTGAGACCAGCTCTGCCACTTCGGCTGGCATCCTGGCCCTGGAGGACGGCGAGACTGCTTCAGTAGCTCTCTACCCACATCCTTCCCCATCCCACTCCCAGTTCCCTGACCTTGTAAGCATGTCTCCCATCACTGGCCCTCTCCTGCCCTGGTAGCTGCTGGCCACCCCAGTCTCCTCTCCGTCGCCCTCTGTGTACTAGCCACAACATGCCCCGTGCAGGCTTCCCTCTGGCCTTGTTCTCTGTGCCACCTGTGTGCGTTCTCCTCCGCCAGCAAGGCCCTCTTCCCCAGCCCTGCATCCCTTAGCCCTGCCCCTCCGGGTGACCTGTCCCCCCGCTTCTGCTGCCCTGGCAGCCTGACAGAGCACCCACACTGTTGTAGTTGCTGGTTCCCATGTCCATCTCCCATACCAGGGTATAGGCCCTTTGAGCGCGGAAGTGATCAAGTGTCCTTACGAGCACAGAACTGGCACATTGGGGGCTCTTGTTTCAGTGACTGTTGATTGCATGTATGCCAGCATCAGTGTCGGAAGCTAGAGAAGTAGAAAAGGGAAGTCCGCCGTCCGCCCTTTAGTTGAATGGGGAGGACAGTCCAGTAAACAAATGATGGCACAGTGTGTTCAGTGCTCCTCTGGAAGCAGAGAGGAGGCATACCTGGATCACGGGGAGAGGGAGAATACTTCTGCGAGGCGAGCCGCCGCTTTGAGGAATAGCTATTTGTGTTTATCTTATCCTCATAAGCTGCCCTTTTGTCAGGTATGGATCTTTTTAGTGGACTCGGGGTAATGGGGTTATAATATAGTGGATTCTTGGCACATGCAGGATTCACCTGATGATTGGGTCGTATCCACTGGCAACCAGGTGCCCTGCTGTCACTCCTAAAGCAGCACTGATGGATGAGCCTGGAAGACTGGCAGGACCCTGGGCACTGAGAGAACAGTGTCTGAATTCTCAAGGGGCTTTTTTCTCAGCTCTACGTCACTTTCTCTTCAGAGGTTGAACCTGGGGATCCCCACTCTTTGAAACCCCTAATGAAACTGTCACCTAGATCAGCACCACCCTCCGCCCCTCCCCAGTTCTCACCCTGAGTCCCAGACACCCAGCGGCCGAGTGTAATGGCTGCACTTCTCTTAGCCCTTCAGAATTTCCCTTGTGCTGTGGATTTGTAACAATTACTGTCTCAAATTACAGAATTGCATTATGGTTTTCTTATTTGAATCTTTTTTTGTTGTTATGTTCAATTCTAATCAGAGCACATAAGACATTTTAGAAGCTAGTCTCTGAATAAAACAACACAACTGAAATTGTTGGGAACACATTTCTGCTGACTCTCCACCACATCAGGGTGCTCTGCTCACATCCTTGGGTGGTCAGCCTGCCTTCTCTCAGTCAGCATCTGGCGCAGGAAAATCCCTTGTACGGGATAGTCCCGAGCCCTAGCCACTGACTGTCAATAGTAACACAGCTGTGTTAGTTATGGAAACTAACTATGTGCTGTGGAAAAAAATGACCCCAAAGTTTAGTGACTGAAAACAGAAAACCAGGTTTCCCGTGGTTTCTGGGAGTTGAGAGCCAGGCACCTTGGCTGGGCGGCGCAGGCGCCGGGCCTTGTGAGGTTGCAGGCTTCCTGGGTTCAGCAGGGCTGGGGCTCCCACCTCCCAACTTACTCTTGGGGTTGTTGGCAGGGGCTTCAGCTCCTACTGCACGAGCCTTTCCGGGGTGCCGTTCATGAAGGGGCTCCCCCAGGGTGAGTGATTAAAAAGAGCAAGAACGTGAGCGAGCACCCAGAATGGAAGCCACACTATCGCTTGTAACCTAAACTTAGACGTCACCATTCCTTCACTTTGCTGTGTTCTCTCAGTCACCCAGACCAGCTCTGGTTCTGGGACCAGGTTCGGGGAGGCAGAAGGTGTAAAGACCAGGAAGTGGGAGTGTGGAGGGCAGCTTGGAGGCGCACTCTCAGAACCAGAGGGTCCTGCGAAATTCGTGTTGTGCGCAGTGACGGCATAACCTCTTTTTCCCCACCAGGCCCTGCTATCCTGTCCTTCCCTGTGGGCAGGCAAAGCCATGGCTACTTTCCTAACCAGTGATTTCTGCATGGGACTGTTGTGGGAGTTAAATGAGAGAAGTGTGGCGTGGGCCCGGCACAGTGCCTTGAATACATAGTAGATGTTCAGTAAATACTTACATGCCTCCCTTTCTTTAGACACACTAGTAACTAGTGACTCTATATTAAATTCTCAAAATTTTAAGCCTTTGTTGACTTTATAAACATTTATTGGACCAGTCACTGTGCTAAACTACTTTATATGGATTTTCTCCTTTAATCTCTCAAAATCTATATGAGGAAGCCATTAGTAAGAAAATACTGATTGCTTTGAATCTCCTTGGACAAGAATCCAGCAGTGATGCTGGATGGGCACATAAGGCTGTATCTTTGTTCACCCGTCTTACGGACCGAGAGACTGGAGCTTGGACAGGGTACATCATGCACCTCCCGTCACAGTTCATAAGACACAGAGCCAAGTGTCAAGCCTGTGTCTGTTCACCTCTGTGCTTTTATCTAACACTTTATAGTCTATAAAGAAATGAGCCATTCTCCTCACATTATAACCAAGAGACTCAGATATGCAGGGTTTTATCCTCCCTCTATTACAACTTAAGAAAGTTGAGACTAGAAGGTCCAGGTCAGCCAGGAGCAGAGCCTTGTAGTTACCACCTGGTGCTCCTTTGCCTACCACATTGCCTCAGTTCAACTTTATTTTTTATTTTTTAAAAATTGTATTTATTTGAGAGAGAGAGAGCATGAGCTGGTGGGGGGGAGGAGCAGAGGCAGAGGGAGAAGCAGACTCCCCGCTGAGCAGGGAGCCCGATGTGGGGCTCGATCCCAGGAGCCTGGGATCATGACCTGAGCCGAAGGCAGACGCTTAACCGACTGAGCCACCCAGGCGCCCTGAGCCTGCAACTCTTGATCTCAAGGTTGTGAGTTCAAGCCCCACATTGGGTGTGAGCCTACTTGAAAAATTAATTAACTAATTAATTAATCAATTAATTAAAAGTCTAGTCTGAAGTATTTTTTTCTTTTTTCTAAGAGATTTTATTTATTTATTTGACAGAGAGACAGCAAGAGAGGGAACACAAGCAAGGGGAGTGGGAGAGGGAGAAGCAGACTCCCCGCTGAGCAGGGAGCCCAATGCAGGACTCCATCCCAGGACCGTGGGATCATGACCCGAGCCGAAGGCAGACGCTTAATGACTGAGCCACCCAGGCGCCCCTGCCTCGACTCACTTTAAGGTGTACTTCTTTACCTACAAGCAATAGCTCCAGGACATACTTTTTTTGAATTAAACCTTTGTTTTTATTTATGTAGCAGTAGATGTCAAAATCTTTTCTTAGACTTTAAGAATCAAATATGGGAGCAACTAGGTGGCTCAGCTGGTTAAGCATCGACCTCTGATCTCAGCTCAGGTCTTGATCTCAGGGTTGTGAGTTCAAGCCCCATGTTGGGCTCCACGCTGGATGTAGAGCCTACTTTAAAAAAAAAAAAAAAGAATCATGGGGCGCCTGGGTGGCTCAGTCGTTAAGCGTCTGCCTTCGGCTCAGGTCATGATCCCAGGGTCCTGGGATCAAGCCCCGCATCGGGCTCCCTGCTCCGCGGGAAGCCTGCTTCTCCCTCTCCCGCTCCCCCTGCTTGTGTTCCCTCTCTCGCTGTGTCTCTCTCTGTCAAATAAATAAATAAAAATCTTTAAAAAAAAAAAAAAAAAAGAATCAGATATGAACTTTCTTTTTTTCTCTAATGACTTAAAATCAGTTCTCTTG